ATCGTGACGGCAGTTTATTGGCGACCACTTGCAAGGACAAAAAATTGCGCGTTTTTGAGCCAAGGTCCGGTATCGTAGTTTCGGTAAGAAAGAACGAAATTTACAGTCGTAAACATATCTATTTAAATTGTATAAGTTCATCTTTAACACTCTGACTAATAATCACAAATATAAAAGAATTACAATATTTATCTCTGCTAAAAATTATGGTCTGTGTACACACTTCTCTTGTATGAAGAAAGGTGCGCATTTAGCATATAGTTATGTCACACACATATTCTATAAATAATAAGACTCTAAATTTTTGAGAACATTCGAATTGTGTAATTTATAATTTTCTATCTTTTATATGTGAATTTCCACAATACATAATTTTAATAGTGCACCAATTTCAGTGCGTTGACTCTTACTTGCCTTTAGTATCTTTAATTATTAATATTCTATAAAATCTCAAAAATAAATTTGTGCATTTATCGATAAAAGTGAGGGATTATAAATACTCCATCTTAGATCTTTCTATTAAATTTTAATAAATCTCACTTTTAATAGGAAGGGGTATGTCATGCTGGCACGAAAGCCAGCAAGGTAGTATTTCTTGGCAGTTCCGGACGTCTTTTGACTACTGGATTTAGCAGACATTCGGATCGACAATACGCGATATGGAGTCAACATGATCTAACTGTCCCACTGACGTGCGAGACGATAGATTCATCAAGCGGAGTGGTTTTTCCATTTTACGATAATGATACCAACATGGTGTTTTTGGCCGGAAAGGTAAAAACGTATGGCATGTGTAGTTCGGACTGTTGTAAAACTCACTGCGTTGTATCATTTTCTGTAGGGTGATGGTAACATTCGATATTATGAAGTGGTTAACGAAGCACCCTGGGTGCATTATCTCAGTCAATTTATATCGGGAAATCCTCAGAGAGGATTGGGGGTAATGCCAAAAAGAGGCATTAATACCTCTTTATGCGAGGTATTCAGATTTTACAAGTTACACGCGACTCGTGGAATGTGTGAGCCGATCTCGATGATAGTACCACGGAAGGCAAGTTAATACTTGATGTTTTTTTTACATTTTTTTTAAAAGGTGCATATTAAAGAAAACTAAGTTATATGTTGTAGAGTGATCAATTTCAAGAAGATCTGTATCCTGATACAATTGGAACGTGTCCCGCATTATCGGCTAGAGACTGGACTAGCGGCATGAATAGCCCGCCAGTCTTAATCTCTCTTAAAACAGGTCCTACTCCTTTCTCCAAGCTAGAGCTATTTAGTTTACTCGTTTTTATATTTTCCATTAATACGGTATACAGTATTAAAATTCTATCGAGCAGTCACGTTAATGGATATCGTGCTATTATTAGGCGGGAGTATCTCTACGCATAAGCCACGAGTATACAAGCCACCGCAATTGCCTGCGACCACTGATCTGAATAACAAAAAGAAATTTGCGTTCCTGTCTACGGAAACGATACCGGATTACAGACCGGTGGAATTACACGATATGTCGGAAAAAAGCCAAAAAACATCCAGCAATCAAAGCACAAAGTTTCAGCAACTTCAGCAGAAGTTTGGAAATGTCACTATACAGGTACGAGCGTAATATATATATATATATACACACACACACACACACACACACACACACACACACACACACACACACATTACATTTTTTACATAATTTTCGTATATATTTTATATTTGAAATATTTTTTCAGAAGAATATTATATCGTCTTCGCTTAATGACAATAAAGTTATGGAGACTGTGGACGTTCCAAATAATGAAGCAGAACTTCGTTTGGCATTGGCTCGTCAAACTGACGAATTGAGACTGGTACGCCGGCAGCTCGCTAATAGCCAACTGCGTGTTAAGGAATTAGAGGACCAAATACGAAAATTGCAGCGTCAACAATAAAGTTTATAAACTCGCTTCGACATCTGCTTTGAATAAGACTCTTACAGCTTTACTACACGTGATTATCAATCAATACTTAAAGTTTCTAGAATATTTACGCACCTCTAATAATGATAAAGAGCCTAAGCTTACGAGAACTTTGTACTAACACGCTTAGGGGACTTTAGCTTTGTCGTATTTATACACAAAGAAATATTCGCACAGAATAATTTTTACTAACTTTTCTTAGAATATCTACAATCTTTATGTAGAATAAAATTGTCGCGTTAATCACAAGGGAACAGAAACAATAAGCTGCATTTGTTACATAAAAATTGTACCTGTTTACGCACATACTTAGATGCGTAAGTCGGATATTAAGAAGTTAAGAGGAACACAATACCTTTAGACAAATGGCAGCGTAAAGATAATTCATGATGTCAGTTAAATGACTTGAATATTTTACTTTTTTTGAAAACAATATTATATTGTACCATTAGTCTGTTAATCAATTGTTTATTTTTTTCTATTACTATTTTTGTATGTTTATTAGTTAACTGACGTATTATTTAATATATTGTGCTTTATCATTAGAGATATTTCGAAAGACAGTATTTCTTTGCGTATTATCACGATTATTATTGCTTCTATTTGCATTGTAAGTTTATCCTTGCAACGCTTAAAATGATTTTTGTTGCCGATCTATTATACAATCTACAAAGCTGCTATGTCATATTATATGTATGAGTAGTATGGACTAGCGTGTTAATGTATTAAGCATTTTGCTATCGCGTATATTTTTCATCACTGCCATCCACTGCCATGATGTCGATGGCAATAAGATCTCCAAATCTATAAATGCAGTGATAATATCTAATAAATGTCGCGATTAATTAAAAAAAAATTAGCTTAAAATTCCCTTTTATACAATAAAATGTACGTTCGTGCAATCTCGTTAGCAAAATCATTAAACAATGTACCTACAATTGATGATATGAAAATGATATACATGTATATTTTTAAAGGAATTCGACGTTTAACGCGATGATCAATGTTGATTTAATTTACCTGAGCTAACTTCAGGATGTATTACACACATTTTAAAATAATGAAAATATGGAAAAATTACAAATTACTTTAGCATTTAAAAATAAAAGTTTGGCGGCAGTTTAGAATCTGAATCAAAAATTATTTCAAAAGTAGTATTTTTTATTTTTGATCTCTCTCTGATGGAAACGTATAGAAATTGTTCTGTAAATAAACAAAATTTGTTCATTTGCAAAACAAATGATCTCTGCATCACAATGAAACTGCATAAATAATTTTGAATGTTTAAAATATTTATGTAAAAAATTGAGATCTTTGTCATTATTTTTTAAACTTTAGTATCATAATAAAAACTAAAAAACTTTGAAAAAATATTGTTCAATAAGAATAGAATGTTACACAATTTTCATATGTATATCGTTATTCAAAATATAAGTTAACGTAATTGTAAAAGTGAGTAATACATCCTTAAAGGGGATATAATAGCAAATGTGTTAGAACATTTACTTTTAGCATTGTAGTTTTGAGAATCGTACAGAATTATATTTCGGCTTAATAATAATCAAGTTGTGTAATCATTTATACATATACGTTTATATATGTATTTTTTATACAATTGTGCAATTGTACCGTGGATAAATGTAGTACCTGCTATATTTCACATATCGCTTGCGAGCATAAAATTTCATTATTCATAAAATACAATAAGAATAACCTGAAACACTGATGATACACCAACATGTGACGTAGCATTCCCTAGTCTTTCTTTACTAGTTGTTTATTTTATCATCGTAGCTTTAATTACTCATAAATAAGATATTTCATTGAAAACTTCTTTTAGATACAACTTTTTCAAGAGCATGAAGTGTGCATTAAACAGTGCATTTTGTAGGCGGTAAAGTACATATTGCGAGGTAGTTTGTAGCTATATTTTCGATATTTATATTGCAAGAGTCTTGCAATATAAATTTCTATGATATTTGTAAGGAGATCATTCATTTTTGTGACAAACGTATTGTAACGAATTTATAAATTTCATTAGAAATTGTAAATTTACTTCTGGTGCAGTATCGTGACGCAATATGCCTGTATCATTTATATATAATATTTATACATGTCAATTAAATTATTATATTACATCGAGATCTCCAACCACATAATACCGTACATTAAACAGAAAAGTACCAAAGAGCATCATTATCTCGTAGATTACAGCCCAATTTATTATCAGCGTATGCCTGTTTAAGAGATTTGTGTACGAGAACAAGGAAGATGTATGATATATGGCAAGCAGAGATCTCATAATAAAAATAAAAGGAAAAACTTATAAAATTGTGTATACGAAACATTATTAATATATAAAATATTTTATTCGTTTTGAAATTTACGAACAGTAATCAATTTATTAATTTTTATGTATTACGTCAGTACATAGCAAAGTAAAAAAGTGCAATATATATATTTATATTTTTCTCTCTGATATAAATTGTGTATATCTTATAATTATACAATACTCTTTTAAAATTGTTTATCAATCGAATGGACGGACATATTTCGTTTCGGTTCTATTATTTTGTTAAAAATAATCTATTATATATATATATATATATAAATTAAATATATGAAATATACAAAAATGTTAAATATATAATAAAATATACAGTTACACTATTACTCTTAAAATAATGGAACATTGATCTCTAATTACGTGATAAAGATATATATATATATATATATATATAGAAAAAGAAAATTTTTAAATACAGCTTTTTGAAATTTATCTTCAATCTTTTTTGGCAACTTTATTTTCAATAAATATAATTTACGTACGTATACCATAGAATTTCAATACTGGTAATGTATATCCGAACACAGCCTATGAACGAATTATTGGAGTATTCCTATAATATAATTTGAGTTTCAAAAAATATGAATGAATAATCATGATAAAATAATTCAAATATTTCAATTACAAGTAACAATCCTATTACACGGGATTGAAATATAAAGTTGCGAAAAAGATCTTAAAATTGATTATATTTTCTGATACCGGTAAGAAATATCTCATAAGTATCACATCCCGTGAGATGTCATTGGCAGTGAGAAATTGATCAAAATTTAATACCTTGCATGAGCATCTAAGTATAAATTGATACTTACGATTTAAAAAGGAATAGAAAAAGACGTTAAAGATTCATCGACAATAATGAAATAATAAATTTGTCAGATTCTTAACTAATCGTCAAGCCTCTCACAGAAACTTCTACCTGTGAAATAGCTTTTTCCAGGCTACTATTAAACTCGCTGGCATGATCCATGTATACATTATATCTGGCATGAAGGATATCGCTGAATTGCATCCGTCTTCGGAACATGTGAATACACAAGTGCGGTAAGTCAGCTTGTCACCCGGTTGTTTCACATAGTCGCAGTAGTTCCCCATGTGCACGGACGAGCAAAATCGCTTTGTACCAATACCACCTGTTTCCAGAAGTATATAATTTAATTATACAATATATTTGTCCCAAGTGAAACTACTTGTTTAATTAGAAGAAGCTTGAAAAGCTTCAGAGAGAACTTGATGTATTTTGAGACATACAATATCAAAGAAAGGAAGTTTGTTTATTCAAACGTGTATTCTTTTTGTTAATTTGAATTTGAAAGTTAATTTTGAGAATGAGTTGAGCAAAATGAATAAGCAGACTACGCGTGCATATATACATTTAAATTATGAAAAAATGTGATGTGCAGAAAGAAGTATAGATATATATATTCTTCAAGGAGATTCTCCAGCTTAAAAAAGTGAAGGAAAGTCACGTAACTTTTCTTATCTTTCAACACGAGAGTACAAAGAATGCAAAAAATGCCATTGCCATTTTCTAAAAAATATTGAATAAAATTCAAGCTGTAAAATTAAAATTTGTTATTAAAAAATATCTTCTTTATAATGAAAATGAATATGTGGAAATATTAAAAAAAAAAATTTGTTTATAATAATTTTATTTAACTTTAATTCTTTCATATCTATCTAACTCTGCAAAATTCTTATATTTTGTGTACAATTAAATTACTTAAAACCCTTCTTCTAGTAAGAATTTAAGCTATTTTAGAAAATTATTTAAAGAAAACTGTAAAAAAAATTTAAAAATCTGAAAAATTCAGGAATGCTTACATATTATTAATTACAAACTTATTCTTAAGATTTGTTCAAATCCTTATATTATGTGAAAGACTAGACCTTCTAAACCCATTTTAAAGAAAATAATTAAAATATCCTTTTTTTGCTAAGTCAATTTCAAAAGCTGAAAATAGATCACAAGTAAGTAAAAAAACTAATTCGTGTCAAAATGATCACTTTCAAGAACAGAAAAACAGCATCGTTTTTCTCATTCCTTCCAATTAACAATATAAATATCTAAATAAAAAAACTAAGTATCATATAACAATATATGAAATAAGAATCAATATTTAAGAAAATATCTCTGATATGACTTTTGCAAACCTCTTTATATATTTTAACCTCAGAATTTCTTAAACTGTATATTAAAATAAAGGATCAGCCTTCTTTGTTTCGATAAGTAATCGTTTCCATGTCAAAGATTCGGTATTGAAGGAACATTCATGCACACACTCGACAATAAATACAGATTCTTGTTATAAAAACCTCCGTAACGGCCGATCGATTTGATGCAATAACGTGCTCCGTACACATGACTACAATTTGCCGGCATCAAGATATTTTTAACCAATTCGCTATCCATGCATTTCCATTCATCCGCCGATGTACATTGATAGCAATCCAAGGTCATCACTTTTAATTTTAAGAAAGCAATGATTAAATTTCTAATTAAAACTACATGGCAATTAATGTTACACAAGTTTTCCATCCAATGCTACATCATAAAATAATAATTATGAAATAACTCTTAAATGTACAGCTCTAGAAATGATCTACTGCAATGAGATAAACAGGATTTTGATTAGTAAGTAATTTTTTGCAATGTGAAAGAGCATTCTCAATCGCGTCACAACTGAAAAAGGACAATTTTTAAAGATTGTAAAATGGAAATGACAAAATGATATTTAATTATATTAAGAATACATTCTTTTTGCCGATATTATTTGATTAGTCAATAACTTTCTATCAAGTTGAACAATATACAGTTTTCCCCTTTTTTAGAAAATTTAATTTATTTTTCGCAATAAGAATTAATTATTTACAGATTTTAATATGTCACTCAGCATTATTAAGATCGTTCGTGGATGCGAAAAAGCATCAAATTGTTAAATTGCTAGTCAATTTAACTCGTGATAGTACTGCAGTAGTTTAGTAGAGTTAGGGTTGGTTCATAATAGGCCTGTAATCTGTTAACTTTTTCCGTAATCTTTTTCCGTAAGAATTGACCAATCACAGTCGAATGAGAGGAGAACAATCGACTATGATTGGTTGATTCTTACAGATTACGGAAAAAGTTAATAGATTACGGCCTATTATAAACCAACCCTTAGCGTTTCAAGACCGAAAAATTATTTCGGCGCGCGTTTCAAAGGACTATATACATACATAGTATATAAATTCATACAGAATCGTACAAGCATTTAAGATCCAGCTAGATCGTTTAAGGCATTGATTTCTATAGTTTGTGTTATCACATATACGCGATCCTATAACATATTATATTGTTTAATTTGTTGAGTTGTCATTTTTAAAATAAGGGAGTGATATGTAAAAAATTGCTTATGATTCCAAGATACGCTCAAACATAATAAATATGTTTCAGCAAGTTGAAAAGATCTGGAAAGAATTCGGTTAATGCAGAATCGCTGACATGCTCGATTAATCTGTGTATGAAATACAATTGTTAGAAAGGTTAATCAGCTTTCCCTGCATCGCCACTATGATAGTCTGTCAAGCAAAGGCTATAGGAAATATCTTCGTTGTTGTTTACCCTCAAAACGGCCTATGTGCTTGACACAATATTGCGCTCCATAAACCTTGTCGCATGACCTAGGCTGAAGATCATTGTCACTCGTCAGGAATTCATTACATTGAAATGGATACTCGGTGCTGGTGCTGTTACATTGGTAACATTGTATGCTGTGTCCTGAATAAAAATATTATTAAATCGAATCTAAAGAAACAAAGGGCTATGTTGAGCCGAAACGCTGGATGTTTAAAAAAAAAAATATATATATATACTCGTTAAATAAAAATACAAAAGTTATTTACTCAAACGTTCAATATCTTCGACCTTTAATATCTTCATCCTCAGTGAGAACATAAATTGCGATGGTCACGTCATAAGCATAAAATACGTTGATGTATATTGTATACAATGAGAATAATCATCTTCTTTTTAACTCTCCAAATTATTACATGCATATTACAATCTATATAATCAATTCCGTGTACCGCTGTGTAAAATATGCAGAATTGAGGACACCCTAGGTGCAAAACCGTGTACTCTTTGACAGCAATTCCGAAATCCGTGTCTAAAGTCGTACCGCATCCTCGTATCCAACACACATAATTAAAACATGTTGTTTCGTTACAAAGAGAAATTAAACTTTATAAAACTAACGATACAAATTATATTAACCTTCCTCCTATGAAAGCCAGTACGAAAATCTTTTATCTATCTTCTAGAGACACAGACGGCAGTGAATTATTGTTTCATTCTTATTGTTTGCCAATATTAAATAAGGATGAAACGCGAGTCATTCTGTCATCTGGATCTTTTACTGAAAAACAAATCTTCCTTTGTATGAAAAAATTTCTTTTATTTTACATGTGTTGTATTTCGATTCTACAAACGTCTCTCACATTGCGCGTCACGTAAAATTATAGATAGATTGCTGTCCTGAAATCGGACGTAAATTATAGATTGTTCGAAGCGATCCGAGCATCCGAGCCTGAGATCTTTTTCTCCCCGAGAAAGAAGGCAAGCTTTTTTTCTACTTTTCTGCGACTTTTCGTTCTTCGTAGTCGCGCAGGTCGCGTTTAAAACGAGTTACGAGAGTCGAGACTCGAGACCCCACCCAAAGCGCGTCGTCGCGTTAACCTCACCTGTCTCTACCAGCAACGAGAGTATCGCCAGTAATATGCAGGCCGCGACGCAGCGATTCGTGACAGTCATTCCGATTCCACGGGATTGCGGTCTCCGGATCACCTTCCGTAATCTCGATCGTCGTATTCCCGTATTCCCTCTCCGTCCGTTTCCCTGTCGATCACGAAATTACAAAAACTTAAAATGACGTAAAGACAGGCACCGCTTAATGCTTATTCTCCACAATTCACATTCGGAGGATTACTTGAAGTTGGGGTACTTGGGGTTAGTCGGGGTTCTCCCAGGTTCTCCCAGGTTCTCCACAGTTCCCCAGCTCCACCAAGGGCACCAAGCAACGATTTCAAGATCTTCTTGTGAATTGATATGGCTCCCGCAAGCGGACACCCGCGATGTGCCGCGATAGCGATACGGCCAGTATCCAATGTAGCGTGATGTAGCGTGATCGAGGCTCGAGCGTGATGTAGCGACGCGTGGAACGCTCCGCGCACACCATCCAATTGGATGGGCGCCGGGGCCGCCGGGGGGACAGCGGCAAATCACGGTTTGAAGATGTGTCGCAAAGTTGTGCAAACTGCAAAGTTGCACCCTAGGTAACGATCATGTAACTTTTTCCCTTTTTAAGGGCGGAAACGTGAAAGTGACAATTTTTTGTATGCATGCGTGCATATGTACAGTTCGTGCAATTAATGCCTTCCCAGCCTATGACATCACGTCCTCTGGTAAAACATCGCGTTTATCTTCTCGGTTGTTTTCACGTTCATGGCCGTAGTCGGACAAATGAGACTAGCCAATAGAGATTGGAGAAATTTGTCGCGTATTATCGATAATTCCGTCTGACTACGACCATGAACGTGAAAATAACCAAGAAGGTAACGCGCAATATCAAAACAGGGGTGGAAGGCATTAATTGCGCGAACTGTACGAACATACATACATAACAATTTTCATCTTTCACGTTTCCGCTCTAGCGACAAAGTTACATGATCGCTACCCTGAACTTAATCTGATCTGGGTAAGTCCGGATCTACAATAGGTGTTTTAAGACTTAAGCCATAAGAAACTGACCAATTACAGTCGAATCCGAGGGGAATAATCGATTGTGATTCGTTCATATCTTATGACTTAAGGATGCTTAAAGACCCGTCTACAATACACGTAGTAAGCTTGATTTAAAAAGTAAGAGTAAGAAATTGACCAATCACAGTCGATTATGAAAAGAATAATCAACTGTGATTGGTCAATTTCTTACTCTTATTTCTTAAACCACGCTTACTACGTGTATTGTAAACGGGTCTTTAAACCCTATTGTAGATCCGGGATAAAGGCCATCACACGTACAAAAGTTATATGCCCGTATTCATAGTCAGGCTTTATATTTAAGGCTTCCTTAAATTTATCTTCAGATGGTCTACGAATTATTTCATTGGCTACTGAGCATCTAAAGATAAATTTATGAAAGCCTTAAGTATAAGGTCTGACTATGAATACGGGCCTTAGTTGTAATCGTAAGGCTGTAAGCAAATCAACCAATCACAGTCGAGCGACTTTAAAACGCGCGATCATAACTTTGATTGCGATTGATTGATTTGCTTGCCATTTTACGATTATGATTAAAATTTTTGTATGTGTGATGGCCTGAAGTATACATACCTATCATGGAAAAAGTCGGAATCGATTTCGATCGAAATTAGAGAACCTCTAGTAGAGAGAATCGCCTAGAGTCCTAGATATCAGAGAAGCGCAACCGGCTTAAGTCAGTATCGCAAAGTTACTAACGAGAGTATTAAAAATGGCCGACATGCAATGAAACTGCCTTTAAACTGTCATCACCATAACCTCTTAATTTGCACTGCTATTAACGGAGTAAAACTTTACTCGAAAGGTTTTTTCGAAAGATTCTCGATAAAATTATTCCTGAAATTAAAAAAATATTATTGCATCTCTAGCGACAATTTTTCTCATAATTTTTGTATGAATTAGAACATTTTTCAGAAATATTCAGAAAGTTTATATCTTCTCTCAGAACTGTTTATACAAGTGAATTCTGAAATTTCTCATTCCATAATTTAAAAAAAAGTTCTTGTTTTAGATTCTATAACATTTCATCAGAAATTATACAAAAAATCTTAGAAATCTTATATATTTCATAAGTAATATATATGAAAAATTCTGAGATAAGATGTAGATTTTCTGAGAAGTGTTCCAATTCGTATGAAAAATGTAAGAAAGTTATAAAATTATATGGAAATTCTGAAAAATTATATAGAATTTCTGCAAAATTATGTGAAAAATTCTGAGAAAAATTTTCATCAGAGATTACTCAAATAAATAATTCTGTATGATACGTAGAAGA